TTTCTGACCCACAAAAAATATAAGTGGGTTGTTTGAAGCTGCAGTTTGTGGCCATTGGTTATGCAGCAATAGATTTCTTGTAGCTCGATTGGCCTTCATTTCTGCTGTCATGCCAGCTTTCTGTAGTCTGCAGGGTTGATCTACCATTCCGGACTGCAAGGACTTTCTCCATTCCACCTCACCCAACACAGTGTCAAGTTCAGGTGTCCACCCTGTCCTGGAAGCAGAAGCACCATGTGCATGGCCCCTTCTCCAGATGGGCTGGTAGAAAATGTCCCAACAGGGGCCCATCAACTGTGTGGACACCCTAAAACCAGGAAATGTTACCTGATTGGCCCAGGATACTCCTGTTCCTCGGGTTTGCAGTGTTGTCACACACTGCCTTAAGTACAGTGTCAGGGCAGATTCAGTTAAATCCCCAAGTTTGGAAAGTAAACTGGTTATTGTGGGGAATGTCTTAGATAAATTTTCAAACTCAGCAGTGGGTTGAGCATGATGCCTACAACCCACTCAGAGCCTAGAAAAAGAAAACATGGCGGCACAAAAGTGGGTAGAGGGGGGAGTGATACAGATCAAGTGTGACAGATACAGGAAATCAGTGAATCGGAGCAGCATGGAGAGTGGTGCCAGTCTTACAACTTCTCTGGAAGTTTGAAATAATTTCAAAACAGAGGCAAGCTTTCTGAAGGTAGCTTTGGTCCTCCCATGATGTGTGAAAGAGAAAGAACACCTTGTTGTAGGGCTTGTGGGTGTATTTGTTCCCCTAGGAACCCAGGGCAGCCATTGTGAGGATGGACCCGCTGCCCTCCCATACCCTGCATTGCTTCTCATGCGCACTTACGCTTCAGAAGTGCTGAGGAGGGAAAAGAGGGGTGGTTTCATTTAGATATTTCCATATATTTTATTTACTATGTAATGATTGCACCTGTTTGTGAGCTATAGGCATTTCAGTAACTATATATGATGTATAATGATCATATTACTTTCTTTCATTGAGGTGAGCTTGACATGACACTGTTTCAGAGTAAATAATTGTTGTACATTCACTGTTGAGGAACTATGCCTCCTGTATTTAGTTTCAAACATTTTCCTGATCCCGAAAGGCCACCCACTGCCTATAATCTGCCCCATGTCTGAGCCCCTGGCAGTCACCAAAAACTACTTTCCGTGCTTGCACATTTGCCTCTTCTGGACCTTTCATGTAATGGCATTGTGTGATGTCAGAACTTGTACTCGGGGCTTTGTGCTCCCACTAAGCTTTTTCCCTTGAAGCTAACACCCTACCTCTTGAGCCATACTTCTAGTCTACCATCTTTGGTGGTTAATTAGAGATAAGAGTCTCACAAGCTTTTCAACCTGGGTTAAGTTCATAGCAGGATCCTCAGATCTCAGCCTCTTGAGTAGCTAGGATTATAGGTGTGAGCCACCAGCACCTGGCGCAACACAGGACCTTTTGTGTTTGGCTTCATTCGCTGAGCATGGTGGTTTCCAGGTCAACACCGTAATATGTCAGAACTTCATTCCTTCTTATAGTTGGGTATTATCCCATCGTACGGCTCTATTACATGCCATTAACCCATTCATCCCTTGGTGGACATTAGGGTTGAGCTAGAGTACCTGTTTTCTTTTCTTCAGGTATATACCCTGCCTGCTCCCTCTTATTTTGTATTTGTTTGTTTATTCAGTTTTGGGATTGAATCCTGGTCTCTGAGCTTGCCAGTCCCTTGAACTGACCCTGAATTCTTTTTTTTTTTTTTTGGGGGGGGGGTGGGGGTTCGGTCGTGGGGTCTGAACTCTGGGCCTGGGCATTGTCCCTCAGCTCTTCAGCTCAAGGCTAGCACTCTACCACTTGAGCCATAGTGCCACTTCCGGCTTTTTTCATTTTGCTTATGTGGTGCTGAGGAATCGAACCCAGGGCCTCATGCATGCAAGGCAAGCTCTCTACCACTGAGCCACCTTCCCAGCCCTGACCCTGAATTCTTGATCCTCATTGCATTGTCTGCAGCAAGAAGGCCTGTTGTATCCGCTGTTGGAGAGAACAGCACAGTAGTTCTACATGTATTCTACAAGGTGATGCTGACACTTAGGCAGCTGCAGAGAAAGCTCCCACTGCCCTTTGTTCAACCAGAAGCCAGATATTTTCTCTTGGGGGCTTGACCAGGGTTAACCCCAGAAATAGCAGCTTTTCACCCAATACTCCTGTGACTGACCCACATCCAAAAACTCAGGGAGATTAGGTTGTTCATAACCTGAGAACTTTGTTTTTACTTCAGGTAGTTCCTTAAAGTTCTACTTGGTTCCTGTCACTGATAGCCCCAGGGGATTAAGGTGTCTAGGATGTCAAAGCCAGTATGACAGACAAATCTTCGTAGCTGGCATCTCCTTTGTGACTCCTTGATGTAAAGAGCTGGTTCTCTTACAGTGAGAGCACAAGAATTACATTTCTGTTTTTCTGATTGGCCCCCAAAGAGGTCTTGTGTAGCACGATACTGAAAGGCTGTCTGCCTGCAGGGAGCTAGCTCCCAGTTTCTCTGTCCTCCTTTTCATGCCATAGATCTGGCTTTGTTGGGAGGGTCCCATACCTTCCTTGTGGGCCAAGTGGGGGGGCGGGGAGGAGGCATGGCACTTGTCAGTCAAGTTCCTCACTATACCCCACCCCTCGGGCACGTGTTTGGGGGTAGGGGTCACCCCATCAGCTGGACCAGGTGGCATGGATGGCAGGGCTAGCTAGTGTAGCGCTTTATCCTCGTTAGTGGACTTGAGAGTAGCAGGGGTGAGGCTGGAGGGTGTGAGGAAAGCTGGCTCTTCTCAGGAGAGAAAAACAAATTGGGCCCCACTGACAGTGAAGCCACCGCAGTAGGGGTGGAGCCAGGAGATGGAAATGCTTTGAGGCTGGGTATCAAGCGGTAGCCACCGCTACAGCCAGACTGGGAATGCGGGACCATAGTCCTTTTCTCCCAGGAGTTTGGCTTTCTGACAGCTTTTGTGAGGCCTGAGTGATAGGACATACAGTGTTTATGTTTGATACGCCTACATTATAAAATGTCGATGTGAGCTGATTAATATGTCTCACATAGCCTGTGGTGAGACCGTTTCAGCTTACTCTCCTCAATTTCAAGTATATGGTGTGTTTCTGACTACACTCACCTTGCTGGCAACGATGCCACAATCTGCCTGCACATTCTCCACTTCAGCCTTGGACAGAAAGGACTTGTCAAGCCTGCTCTAGGAGATGGTACCACCGTCTGAATTTAAGAGATCAGATTCTGTGGCATGATCAGTACTGCGGTATAGGTCTGCGCTCCCTAGAGATGCAAGCGGACCGCATCTTGCCTCAGGAGCCGTTAACCAGGCTTGTAACCTGATGTCACCTTTTCCCTGCCATCCCCTCACAGCCACACCCAATCTTTCAGTAAGGTCGTTTGCCTTGCTCTAGTCTTACTGGTCCTCTGGTTCGTGAACAAGTTAAAATCGTTCATCTGTACTCATTCATAGTTTACACATGACTGACTTCCGCATTTCACTGTGGAATTTAGACTGACAGGTTTTTACATTGCTGAAGGCCAACCATCCCGTCACCCTGCCCGGACCTGGGTTCCCTTTCCAGTCTGTGTAACATATGGGTTTGGTTGGTGCTGTCTGTTGATTCAGGCAATTAAATTCTTTCTTAATTTTGTGTCTGGGCATAAGGTGTTTTCATATGTTGAGACTAAAAGGTAAATTAGTTTAATGGTGCGTTAACAGTATGGATATATGCATATATGTATGACAAAAATTGTGATACAGCCAGGTACTAGTGGCTCACTAATCCTAGCTACTCAGGAGGCTGAGATTTGAGTATCACAGTTTAAAACTAGCCCAAGCAGAAAACTCTGTCAGACACTTATTTCCAGTTAACCACCAGAAAACTGGAAGTGGCCCTGGGGCTCAAAGTGTTAGAGCACTAGCCTTGAGCAAAAAGAGCTCAAGGACAGTGCCCAGGCCCTGAGTTCAAGCCTCACAACCAACTCCCACAAAAACTTGTGATCTATTAATCATATAAGTAAAGTTAGTCTCCAGTGGGATAGGGATGCCTTACCTAGATGTCTTACCCTAGGTGAAAGACTAGGGTCCAACTAGTGAGCGCCATCTGTCTATCCCAGGCATGTGCAGAAATCACACTGGGCTGTGATTTTCTCAGGACAGGGCAAATTTCCTTCAGTTCTCAAAGGAGTCTCACCTTCCCTTCCCCCATCACAAGCATCATAACCTGCATTTCACTTCACTGATCCCTTTTTTTTTTTTCTCTTTCACTCCTGGGGCTTGAACTCATGGCCTGAGCTCTGTCCCTGAGCCTGTCTGTGCTCAAGGCTAGCGCTCTACCACTTACGGCTTTTGTTTATGTGGTACTTGTCAGGCCCCTGGAGAGAACAGGCAGCTGAGAAAACTACCTTTACTAAAAATCCCCCTGGCTAAATGTTCCGCTCCCCCCACCCCCCAACCATATAAACCCAGCCTTAATTAGACCCAGCACAACCTCTCTGATCCCAACCAAGGAGTACCTTAGTAAAACTTTCCTTTCATCACCTTTGCCTCCTTCTGCATGGTCTTTCTTCACCTAAAACCTTACAGTGCTAGGGAATCGAACCCAAGCTTTATGCATGCTAGGTGAGCACTCGACCACTAAGCCACATTCTCAGCCCTCACCGATCCCATTTTGATTAACAGTTGCTAAAGAACACTCGTAGCTCATTTGCCAGGACCTCTGACTAAAGGAAGGCAACTCAGGAGATCTGGTTCCAGAAAGTACGTACCTGTTCTCGCTCAAGCACAACAAACGCACCTGGCTTCCCACTCTGTCTCCTGTGTTGGCATTTTACCAGTTCCCAGTTACCCACAGTGGCTTTGTTTTTTTAACATGTTTTAGGCCAGGACACAAAAGCAAGGTGCTAGTGTCCCCTCAATGCTCATACAACTAGAAACAATGACTTTCTCCCCCAAACAGACAAGTTACAAACGTGCAGCAGAAAGAAAACATTTGAATATATTTTTGAAAGAAACCACCTGAACACTTGCCACAAGTCACAACACAATTCCCCCAGCCCCATATAACTAATGTCCACTAATTCAAGGGGGAGAGCTTTCCACATGGGCTTCACCTGAATAACCCACCCTATTTTTCAATTCAAATCCTGAGACTTTCTTGACCCAACAGATTTTGTAGGAGAGGTTTCTCCCTTGAGACTTGCAGCCTGCGGAGGTGGTTTCCTGGGCTTTCCAGCTGGGCCTGTGAGGCTTTCTGGCACTGGAGAAGGAAGGAAGCTGGCCCAGTTGTTTATGAGTTCTTCTGAGGCACTTTGATGGTGACCTGCAGCGGGGACAGAGAGGAGTGTTTAAACCTCCATGCTCCTGGTGTGTGCACGGCTGGGGGGAGCTAGGTGTTCGCATGGTAGAATGCCAGCCCACCCACAGCAGAACATGCAGGGCTCTGCTCTGTGGGATGTCATCCCCTCTCCCCCAAACCAGTGGTTCTCAGCCAACAGTGATCAGGCCCCCCCAGGGGACATTTTTGATTGTCACGGGATGAAAAACAAAGCTTCCCAAACAAGGAATGTTCCAGGCCTCGGAAAACCAGACCCACCTCCCTGTGCTCTCTGCAAAGCAAATGCATCTGCATAAGCGTGCAGGCATCACAGTCTATTGAGTGGGAAAGTAGAAGATCTGCCCTCTATCTGGATGATGATGTGGCATATTTCCTTGTCTGGAAAATGGAGAGCACTGCCTCCAGTCAGGCATGGTGAAATTCCTCCCTTGTTCGAAGAACCTACTCTTCCGGCTCACATAACATCAGCTTAAGCCTACCTTGTCAATCAGGTCCTCATAAATCCCCAACATCACACCTAAGATTTAAGACTGTCTCTTCACTGAATCATGCTTCCTGTCCAAGGTCACCTCTGGAACCCTGGGCCAGCTTCCCACCCACCTGCCATCTTGCTACAGGTTTGCAGCTTGGATAAAGCACAGATTCTGGATGGGGTGGGGATTGGGAAGGCCTGGCTGTGGGCTGGGATGGTGTTCCTCCAAGAGCGCTCTGGTGGTTACCGACACATGGAACCACCACATTCTTTGAGTTTCAGGTTGGCTCCTCAGGCTGTGTTCCAGTCAGTGAAATTGCAAAACCAAGTCTTCAGTGGCTGTGATACAGCCTAGGTTCTCATTGCCACCAGACTAATTTTTACTCAAGTTTTCCTTGCCGCTTCTGCCTACTGAGCTCTTAACCTCTTTTGTGGCTTCTCTGGCTTAAAAATGAGAGACGTAACAAGCATAGATGCCTTCCAGCCCAAGGACACATGGAGAACCACAAGGGGGCCCAGTGCTCACCGTCTTTACTTCGGTGTATGCCTGCAGGCCATACTCGCCCAGTTCCCGGCCACTCCCTGACATCTTGTAGCCACCAAATGGGGACTGGGCCCCAAATACATCATAGCAGTTGATCCTGTAGGTAGAAATGGGAGGCAGAGACCTCTATCTGGGATGTGCCTGGCCCTGGGCTCCTGCAGGGCTCTACAGTCTTTCCGAGCCTTGCTGCATTAGCATCCTTCACGGTGTGGTCAGATGGCTGTCATACCTGTGCCACGTGACACCTTCAGACTTGATGTAATCACTTCGAATCATTGGCTGCTAGGCTTTTCTTTCCTCCTTTTATCAACTTAAACACTGAACTTAACTTTCACTTTGAAGTATACAGTGGTTCCATTGTGATGTGTCCATCACTGCGGCCCATTCCCACAACATTTCTGTTGACCCTAAAAGGAATCCTTGTGCCCAATAAGCAGTGCCTCCCTGTCACCCTGCCCCTGATCAGCACTAGTCCACTTCCTGTCCTCATGGGCTGGCTTGAGTCCAGAGATTTTATGACTCCTGTCACTTAGTAGCATGCTTTCAAAATTCAGCTATGCTCTTTGCGTGCATCGGGATTTTTTTCCTCCCCTCTTCTCCCCAGTACTGGGGTTTGAATTCAGGGCCTTAGATTTACTCAGCTTGCTTTCTTGACTGGCAGTCTACCATTTGATCCATGTCTCCAGCTCGGCTTTTTGCTAGTTTGGACTCTTCTACTCAGGCTAGCTTTGAACCACAACCTACCAGATTTCACCTTTTTATGAAACTGGGAATATAGGGATGAGCCACTGACACCTGGTTTCAATCCTTTTTACGGCTGAATCATTTTCCACATATAGGTTAGACAACATTTTCCTGATCCATTCATCACCTGATGGACATTTGTTACTGGGTTTGGGTAGCATGAGGTTTGAACTCAGGGTTTCTCCCTTCTTAGGCAAGTGCTCTGCCTCTTAAGCCACATCCCCTTCCCTTTCACTTTATTTTTCAGATAGCATCTTGCACCTTAGACTACAATCCTTCCATCTCCTCCTCCCACATAGTTGGGATTACAGGCATAAGCCATTATGCCAGCCTTACATGTGTGTTTTTGTACAGTTGTGTTCTTTCTCAGGTATGTACCTAAGTATAGAATCAGTGGGTCACATGGTCAAGTCTACACTAGACTTTTTGAGGAACTACTAAACTATTCCCCACTAATTGCATTACCCCTACCCTACAAGGGATGTATGAGGTTCTAATTTCTCCTCAACCTCAGTTTTTTTTCTTTTTTGTTTTTGATTTTGGGGCTTGAACTCAGGGCCTGGGTGCTGTCCTAGAGTGTTTGTGCTCAAGGCTAGCACTCTACCACTTTGAGCCACAGCTCCACTTCCAGTTTTCTGGTAGTTAATTGGAGATCAGAGAGTCTCGCGGGCTTTCCTGCCTGGGCTGGCTTCAGACCACGATCCTCAGACCTCAGTCTCCTGTGCCCACCTCTCTTCTTGGTTAGTTTTGTTCTTAACTGACAGCCATCCCAGTGAGTTTGGAATGTGCTAAGCTCTAAGGTCAGCACTGCAGGCTCGTCAGGCCAGGGGTCCAGTCAGTGCTGGATGCCTTAGGAGAACTTCAGGGACACTGCTACCAGAGGAAGGAGCTCAGTCCTAGGGGAGGGGGGGCTGGAAGCTTCCTGACTCAGAGGAAACAGTCTAGAAGATCGGGGCTCTAGAAACATCTGCAGGGACTCTCAGGAGGCTCTTACCACACAGTGCCTGCTTGGAGGGCTTGGGACAGGTAACTGGCCTTGTCCAGGTCCTTTGTGAAGACAGCTGCAGCCAGCCCATACTTGGAATTGTTGGCTCTGGCAACAACCTCCTCAATGGTCTTGAACTTCAGGATCTGCATCACTGGGCCAAAGATCTGAAAGGGGAGTGTGAGTGTGGGCTGCATGGAGGCACCTGCTTGCCAGCCTCAGCGCTGAGCAGTGATGGCAAAGGCAGGACACGTCTCCATACCTAACTGGCAGTCTACCAAATTTAGTGAATGCACCAGACACAGACAGGACACCAAAGAGACAGCTACAAACAAAGTGTGGTGCCCTCCTTCCACGTGGTGCGGGCTTCACTTGCACTTCCCCCCCCCAGTCCCAGAAAGGTCCATTTCCCTCAAGCTCTGGCTCATTTCATGACATTTAGAAACCAAGACACACGTGCTGGGAGTGTAAAGGAGTAGACAGAAATGCTGCCTCCCAATCTCGGCAAGCACCAAGCAGGGAGTCAGCCGGGGTCTAATGCTTCATCCTGCTACAGCAAAGCCTCAGGAAGGGCCAGCAGACAACCTTACTAGACTCAGGAAGTCAGGTGTTCTCCCACAGTGCTGGCCATCAAGAGAGTGCTATCGAGTGGGAACTTTAAGTTGTTCTAGCCTCGAGTCATTCCAGAGTCAATGTCTGGCCTGACCATGCCAGGCTATCCCCTCTCCTCCCTGAGGTGCACTGGCTGCTGACCTCCTCCTTGGCGATGGTCATGCCGTCTTGCACGTCTCCAAACACAGTGGGCTGGATGAAATAGCCACGGTCAGCAGCTGCGCCCCCTCCACACAGGAGCTTCGCTCCCTCTTGCTTTCCTGACTTGATATAGCCAAGGATCTTGTGAAATTGAGTTTCATCCACCTGTGGGAGAAAGCACAGCACCGAGATGCCAGACTCAGCCCTCTCCTGGGCTTGGTAACCACACAGGCAGTGAAGCTGCAGAGAAATGGACCAAGAACTTGAGGTAACAAGAGCTAAAGAGGAAACACAGGGCCCGGAAACAATACACAAAATTCAATCTCATTTGCCATAAGCAATGTGTATCAAGCTCACTGTTTTGACAGGGTGGGGCAGCACACATGCCTGTAGTCCCAGCACTCTGGAGCAGCATTTGGAGAATGGCAAGTTCCCTATCTATCTAGCAAGAACTTGTCCTAAAAAGTCCAATAAAGAGAGCACCAAAGTGAGGATGAAAAAATACAGTAGCAATAAATATAATGGAGAATATACTGTTTTTTAAAAATTCATGAATTATATACTTAAAATGGCACACTCTGATGTGTACTTGTATCTCTGTAGACACGATAAAGAAAAAGAGAAGGCTTACAGCCCCATTCCACGGGGCAGCCTTCCTATCTTCCCATGTGGCTACAGCTCCCTTGCCCAAGTTTATGAGGCCTCCAAAATGTGGAAAATGAGGCCGTGCATGGTGATGTATACCTATGATCCCAGCCACTCAGGAGGCAGAGATCAGAGGATTACAGTTTAAGACCAGGCCAGGCAAAAAAACAAAGACCCCACTCAACCTTTAAGCCAAGTGCGGTGTGCACCTGTGATGCAACTCTGTAAGGGTAGAAAACAGGAGGATCACAGACTTTGGCTGGTTCCAGAACAAATATGAGACTAACTGAAAAATAATAAGTGAAAGAATTGGGGACATGGCTCAAGTGGTAGAGTGCCTAGCTGGCAAGTGTAAGGTTTTAAATTCAAACCACAGTATGGCAAAAAAGAAGAGCAAAAATGGGAAACCATAACAGGGGTCTTGTGCTTACGCCAGAAGGACAAATTGAAGGTATGTGTAGAGGTGAGACTTGAAGCAGCCCCACCTGACTGAGCCAGTGTGCTTTCTGCACCTCTTCTGGCTCCGGACATTCAGGCCCACCTAGAGCTGCCAGACTCACCTGCGGTCCCTGCTCGGTCCGGCTGTCAAAGGGGTTTCCAACCACCCGAGACTTGGCCCGAGCAACACTGCGCTCCACAAACTCTGCGTACACGTCCTCTTGCACGAAAGTCCGTGAGCCAGCACAGCAGCACTGGCCCTGGTTGAAGAACAGGGCAAAGTGGGCCTGCTCCACAGCCCAGTCCACTGTGGGGAGGGGACGGGACAGGATGGTGAGGATGAGAAGGCAGGCCCTGGCTCCAGCATCGCCCACCCAGACAGTGCACTCGCCCAGCATTAGGCCAGCAAAAGGCCTAGCTTCTCTCCATCTGGGAGCACGGGAATGGGCCGGGGGACAGGCAGGAGGAGCAGCCCTTGCGGGGAGGGAAAGTCTAAGAGTTTGTGGGCAGCACCAGAACAAAGGAAGCAATGGAGGGCCAAGTGGCCCATAGACGTGCGTGGACCAGGGTGAGGGTGGGCTGAAGCAGAGGATCATGGGAGGGGATCAAGCCCGCCATCACTGTAGGCCCCTGGCTTACTGTCAGCGTCTGACATGATGATGTTGGGGCTCTTGCCCCCCAGTTCCAGGGTCACTCTCTTGAGGTTGCTGCTCCCTGCAGCAGTCTGGATCAGATGGCCAACCTGGAGGTCACAGAAACAGGATCTTGTCAGGAGAAGGAGGAGTCAAATGTGCTACAGAGACAGATGGAGAACCCCAGCTCAAGGAAGTCACCCCAGCAGCAGGCCTCCCTGCTGCCCTGCACACGCGCCAGCCGGGCCACACTCAACCAGCCACCAGCAAGACACTTCAACTCTGTGGGTTCACTCCCCATTTTACAGAGGGGCATGTGGAGGCTTTAGATGGCTGTCCCAAGGGTGCATGGCAAGTGAGTGCTACTCCAGAGCCTGCCACCTTGCCACTATGCTGCCACCTGAGTGCCGAGGGCACCACTTTGTTCTCGAGGAGCTGAACAGAGCTTCAGTCACCCCTAGTCACAAGAGCAAGGCCAGGACTTGAGCCTGTGCCTTCCGAAGCCCATGCTAACAGTACTGCTGAAGGTGCCTGAGGTGGCCAAAGTGCTCTGCCTCCAGCCCTGGACCTCAAGAGGTCAGCCAGTCCTTATTCCCTAAGGGCACAGTCCCTCCCGACAGCAGCGGGAGTGGCCCAGAGACCACAGAGGGCTCAGCCCTGCCACATCACGCCTGGGACACAGGCTCACTAGAGCCAGCAGAGGGGGGCCTGACAGAAACTGACTGAGGATGCCCCAGGGCCCCTCCTCTCCGAAGCTCCTGTAAGGATGATGGAGCCACCAGGAGAGAACATGAGGTCAGGGAGCAGCTCACCTCTGTAGACCCTGTGAATGCCACTTTGTCCACATCTTCGTGGGAGGCAATGGCCGCCCCTGCCGTGGGGCCAAAGCCAGGAACAATGTTGACCACACCGGGTGGGAAGCCAGCCTGCAGACAGAAGCCAGGAGACCCAGGGCAGCATCCTCCTGCCCCCAGGACCTGAGCAGGACAAACCCCTGCCCTTCCCAGAGAGGCCAAGACGGGAACACGAATGCAAAGGTTCTCCCTACACAGCCATGGGTGGCCTTGAGCTCTCACTCTTCCTACAGAAGCCAGCTTTGTGGGTGGGGTAGTGTCCGGGGAGTGCCCCTTCCTAAGCAGCTCAGGTGAGAATCGTGTTCATGAACTCCTGTAAGGGTATTTAGTGGTCAGGGCAGAAGCAGGTGGCGTACCTCCTTGATCAGGTTGGCCACGTAGAGGGCAGTGAGCGGGGTCTGCTCGGCAACCTTCATCACAACCACATTTCCAGTCGCCAAGGCCGGACCCAGTTTCCATGCTTGCATCAGAAGGGGGAAGTTCCACTGCCCAAAACAACAGCCAGCCAAAAGCTAAGTCCACTTCAAGGAACCGCGCCAGATGGCAGAACGTGCCGCCACCAAGAACAGGCAGCAGAGCCCTCTGAAGCCCACGTTCTCCAAAACAGAGCAAGTGACACAACAGTGAGTGCACTGATTTTCCACCCTAGGTACCATGCTGAGCCCTTCTTCGTACATCCCTGAGCAGACGGCAGGGGCATGAATGATTTCCCAAGGCCCCTGGGTAGGGTTGTCAAAGCCCACATTCTCAACCACTGCCCAGCCACCACCTCAGCCTGAACTCTGGGCCTGGGCGCTGTCCCTCAGCTCTTTTAGCTCAAGGCTAGCGCTCTACCACTTGAGCCACAGCGCCACTTGCAGCTTTTTTTCTTTTTGCTTATGTGGTGCTGGGGAATCGAACCCAGGGCCTCAGGCATGCAAGGCAAGCGCTCTACCACTGAACCACCTCCCCAGCCCCAGCCCAGCCACCTTCTAATGCTACCTGCAGACCCTCTGTATGCAGCCAGCCTCATCCTCTCCATGACCTCTGGGGGCTGGCACTCACCGGAATGATTTGGCCACAAACCCCAACAGGCTCATGGCGTGTGTAGCTAAAGAAGTCTCCGTCAATGGGAATGGTTTTCCCGTGATACTTATCAGCCCAGCCGGCATAATAACTTTGGAAAAAGAAAAGTCCAAATTTTAGTCAATGCTGAGGACCCCATAGTTCCCTACAGAAAGACCCAATTTGGTCAGGGTGAGGGGGATCATACGTGTCTACGTGTATGTTAGCACTGGCTTTTTTGTTCACTGGTTCTCTACAACCTGAGCCAGCCAAGCCGCCATGGCTTTGTTCAATTAACTGGAACAAGAGTCTCAAGGTTTTATCTGCCTCGGCTGCCTTGGAACAGAAATCCTCAGATCTCAACTTCCTGTGTAGCTAGGATTACAGGCATGACCACCTCCACCCGTCTTCAAGTGGGTTTTTCTGAGAACTGCCCTTACATTCTGTTTATCCCCAGATGATCCTGGACAACTGGCAGGGTCAGTGACCCACTCACTCTGTGAGTTGAGGCCTCAGAACCCCTGCGGTACTCGTAAGAAGTGTCAGCTCCAGGGACCCCTTCCAACCCACTCAATCCAGCTCTCCAGGCTGTGCACACGTATTACTATATGGTGACCATTGGGCCCGCCCAGCACTGCAGATGAGCACCACAGAACCTCAGGCCACACCTGGGGCACAATCGAAGACCCCTGAAATGGCCGGCACTTCCTGCACTCATAGTAATTTCTAAGACTGGACAGGCACAGGAAAACACAAATCCCAGCTGGGCCCCACCTCCTGGGTGCCACCTCAGGTGATGGAAAAGCATGGAAATCAGAGCTTGGGGGAGAAACCAGCTACATATCCCACTGTGTGGGAAGTCTGACAGGAAGAGGCAGGAAGGTGAAGCATGGGGCTCAAAGGAGGACCTCAGAATTAAGCATCGTCTGGCATGGTAAACCAAAAACCACAGGTGACCAGGCTGGAACACTGGGTGTGTGACCCTGTGGGAAAAACAGCCAGGGAGTTGCTGGTCTGCCCAGTGGAGTGGTGGGCGCCTCCTTCCTCTACTGCTCTGCGGCTCAGCTCTACACTCAGCTGGTCGGCAAAGCTCACATGGGGTCTTCAGTCGGTAGGGGAAGAATGCTAAGCTCAGAAAAGAGAATGGCACTGAGTTTCACCCAGCTTTGCCCTGCTCTAACCTTCAGGGTGCTCTTCCTCACCTCCAGGGCTGGGAAAGCCCTTGCAGTGAGCTTGTCCTGTGTGCAGCAGAAAGCTTAGCAGCTTCTCCGGCCCTCCCCACTAGGTGCTAGGAGCACCTACAATGCCTGCCTTGCCCACGGTCTCCTGGGGACATGCTGGCCCTGGCTGGGCACTGGATCCTCCCCCACTACCTCTGCCCACATGTCCTAGGGAAGCAGCCACTATCTGCACACTGCCCTGTCTGCCTTGCCCGCAGCCGGCCATACTCTAACCCGGCCAACCGTGGTCCCTCCCACAGGAACATGACATTAGGACTGGGAGACTGCATCTTAGACAGTTCCAACACAAACACAGGCCCTAAAGGATACCATACTAGGAGAGAAGAACGAAGCAAGGGAACACAGAGTGAGAGACACCCAAAGGCCTTTTGTTTTTGAGACCCAGGGGCTCTAAGGATTGCCTATGCTGGGCTGAATTGCTGTTACTGGCAGCTGCAAGAACTCTCCTGAAGCTTCTGTCCTTTGTCAGTAAGACAAAGCAAAAGAAAAGGAACAGCAGAAAATAGACCAGAGAGATGAAATAGAGAACAGAAAAAAAAAAGTAGAGCAATTGACAAGCCTTTAGCTGGACTAAGAAAAGAGGGAAAGCTGGTCACTGGTGGCTCAAGCCTGTAATCCTAGCTACTCAGGAGGCTGAGATCTGAGGATTGCGGTTCACAGCCAGCCCAGCAGGAGAGTCCGTGAGACTTTTTTTTTTTTTTTTTTTGGTCGGTCATGGGGCTTGAACTCTGGGCTTGGGCTCTGTCCCTGCACTCTCTCTTCAGCTTAAGGCGAGTGCTCTACCACTTGAGCCATAGCACCACTTCCGGTTTTCTAGTGGTTTACTGGAGATAAGAGTCTCACAGACTTTCCTGCTCGGGCTGGCTTTGAACTGCAATCCTCAGATCTCAGCCTCCTGAATAGCTAGGATTACAGGTGTGAGCCATCAGTGCCCAGCTTCCATGAGACTCTTATCTCCAATAAACCACTAGAAAACCAGAAGTGGCACTGTGGCTCAAGTGGTAGAGCGCTCGCCTTGAGCTGAAGAGCACAGGGACAGCACTCATGCCCAGAGTTCAAGCCCCACAACCGACCAAAAAAAAAAAAAGAAGGAAATAACTAAAATCAGAAATGGAAATGGAGACAATGCTTCCAATTTTACAGTGCTAGAAAGGGCTGAAAAGGATGAACTGTATGTTGCCCAATGAATTAGACAAGCCTAGATAACACTGACACAAGTTACCAAAAGTGACTCACGAAGAAAGAGAAGATACCCACAACTCGTTACAATTGTGAGCAGAGTGAGGAGTCTATCAGCTTCTCCAAGTCCTGTGATCCTTTGGCATTTTGCTGATTCTGTATCTTCCTCCCAACCTCCCTCCCTCCCTGACTTTTGGCAACAACCTGAATAAAGAACTGGAATTCTGAGCCCATACCGGAGACATTTTAGGACCATGTCCAGATCCACCAGGTAGGAGATGATGTAGGGCTTGCCGTTGTCCAGGGTCTCCAAAGCCTGGTGAGAGATCAAGGTCAGCAGGGACAAGTTGGTGCCAGAATGGAACAAAGCAAATGGACTGACCAATGGCACAGTGGCCTGGACTGATGGACCAGGAGAACAGGGTAAGAATGCCCTTGGGGCACTGAATGTCCAGGGCACAGGGTTTTCAGAGCAGAGATGGAGAATAGTGACATAATCCACCCATCACATGTGTTAAGAATGCTAAAAAGACTGCCAACTCCATCTGAGCAAGGCCAACCTAAGACAGCTGGGCAAAGGGGACAGCACACATGGTGCTGAAGTGTAGCATGCCCCAGCCGGAAGGAAGTATGTGTGCAAAGGCCCTGGTGCTCAAGGACAACTGGGTGTCAGTACTCAAAGGCACCTGTGAGCAGAGCAGAGCTGTATGAGTAAGGGAAACGTCCCGCACTTCTCAGGTCATGTAGACCATGTGGAGAGTCCCAACGATACATGACACCTTACAGGCAACTAATGCGCCTTGCGGAGGACCCACTCTGGTTGCTGTGTGCAGAATGGATTGTTGAGGGGAAGGGATCTGCCTCCTGGTTTCTTGTCTCTAGTGGCCAGGGAGAGAGTGACCGTGCAGAGGGATCCTGGGTCCCCAGGAGAGGTGACACATCCTGACAGTCTTTCCAACATAGCTCCTCACCCCTCCCCAGTTTCCTGTCCACTGCTTCAGGGACAGAGGGAGGAGTTCCTCTGGTTGGTCCAGGGATGTTTACCAAAGGTGTCCGGCCTAATCCACATGTCAGCAGCATGGCCTCTGGCTTTCCACACCTGCTCCATCCCTTCACGTGTGGAAACAGCAGGAGGCTGAGGACTCACCGCCAGATAGGTCCGGTCCCGCTCGATCAGATCGGCCAGGCGGTACAGCAGCCGGCCCCTGTCAGAGGCATCCATGCGGCGCCAGGGAGAGCCCAGCTGGAAGGCGGCCCGGGCAGCCTTCACTGCCTTGTCCACGTCTTCCTGCAAAACAACCCACCGAGACATCTCAGGCCTTCTCTGCAGCAAGCGCCTGGAATACTGCCCAGATGGCTGTCAGTACAGGCTAGCATGGAAAACCACCCTAAAACAGATTCAGTGACCAGACTGAGTCTCATGCCCTTTTCTCTCCTCATCAAAGGTGCATTTGCACTTCTCATCCCCCCCTGCAGGAGCTTTGGAGGAAGAGGCACCCAGGGGTCAGAGCTTAAAACTGGGCCACTTTTCCTGCTTCCTAAGGAGTCAGGCCCAGCAAGAAGAAGCCATTCCTTCTGTGATGCAGCATTCCCCAGCAAAGCCAGCCTGACCAGCTTCCCTCTCCTCCCATAAGAAGTACAGGATGGCACTCAGGAGGCAGGGTGTGCACAGACTTCTTATTTATATGCAAAAGACTGCCCAGAAGAGTACTTGCATTTGTGTTCAGCAAAAGAAGCAAGGCCTCATGTGATAAGTGCCCAGAACTGTTTTCATGCAGAGGGCAGGAAATATTCTTGAACTGTTTTTAACGTTTTAAATTATTTCAAAAATAATTTTACTATTAAACTAATTTCTGAGCACTATCACATTTTCATGTCTAATGAATATCTATATGGATATCTATGTGAATATGCATCATGCAAACTAGTCCCAGAGCTGTTATCATTCAAGACCCAAATTCTGTCCAGCCAGACTCCATCTGCTGTGCGTCAGCCTTTCTTGACCCTCCTGAGTGTGCTTCCACCCATGTATTAATTACAGAGGCTAGACGCAATCTAGCACCTTTGTTTTGAAGCAGGAATTTCTTTATTTCATTCACTCAAAATGTTTAATTGGCCTTTTAAAACGATGAACGCAATAGTATGTAGATAGTAAAAGTTTCAGCCATTCAGACGCACACAGAATGAATAGCGAAACCTTGCTCACACTGCCATGAGTCCCCAGTTCTTACCTTGTTCCCTTCTGCTACCTGACAGATGACCTCTCCCGTGGACGGATTGACGGTGGGAAAGGTTTTCTTGCTGATGGAGTCGTGCCATTCATTGTTTATGAAGATCTACAATGAGAACGAAGAGCCTGGTACTGAGATGTCAAAAGAAAAAAGGCATCAGGAAGAACACATACAGAGAACTGTGGATCGCCTGACAAGCCCGCGGGAGACAGTCCACTCTGGAATGCCCACTCTGCCATGTGACTTTGGGTAAGTCTCCTGACCTTCAGCGCCTTGGCTTCTTCGTGTTTCCAGTGTGCCATTTATCGTCTGCTGTGAAACTGATCACCCCCAAACTCAGTGGCTTAGGTGGTGTCTAATCTCTTGAGTTATGCCCTCTCTTTAGGATCTGCTGGGAGGGCTGCAGTCCAAAGAGCTAGGCCCGGGCCACCCAAGCTGGATGTGGGTGGTAGCAAGTCACCACATGGTGCCTTACTTCCGGCCTGCTTGGTGTGCTCATTCTTTTCTGGCTACTCCGTGGCAATGGGCCTCTCCACAGTGTCCTGAGAGACCCACGTAAAGCTTAAAGGCTTCCTGAACCCAGCCTAAAAGTCACATGACCTATCTGGAGGTGGAGATTGGGAAGATTGTGATTCAAAGCAAAAAGTCCTCCAAACCCCATTGTAACCCACAGCATGCCCCTGTCGCCCCAACAGCAGTGAAATGCGTAAACAGGACAATAGCCGTCCAGACAGGCAAAAATCAAGATACAATCTTAAAAATAACCAGAGCGAAAAAGGGCTGGAGTTGGAGCTGGATGACTCAGGCTTCTCTGTTCTGGGTTTTGTCACCAAGAGGAGGCCTCACCTCTCTACCGGGGGGGGGGGGGGGGGGGGGGGGGGGGGGGGGGGCAGTGTGGGCTGTGATGCCAGTTCCTGGGTTCCCCAGGAAGGAGTGGTGAGGGAAGGAGCTGGCGCGGGTCATTTTACCAGAATGCAACTTGGTGTTTCTGCTCCATCCCATACCACCCTCGTGCCACAGAGCACGCTGCGCACTCAGTCACAGATCCGGGCATAAATGTTAACCAGACTTTGGCAACTGTGTGCTTTATTAGTCAGCATTAATCTTTAATTAATTAGGCATGTGATGTATCAGGCAGTGACACCTGTGTAGTTCCAGGGAGAGGGGAAGAGGTGTGGCTACAGAGCTCAGGCCTGGAGCCACAAGACAGCATCTGCTGGGGTGGTGCGGAGAGAAGTGAAGCCTGGAACTGTTACTCCAGAAGAGGCTTTGGTGAAGCAGGACAGCACAGGCACTGGGTGGCCCTAGCCGGGCATCTGCTCCAATCTCTACCCTCAGCACTGGCCCAGGGCCCAGCCTCACACCAACTGCTACAAAGCATCAAAGAAAACCGGAAGGGGAGGTGGCAGGAAGAGATTGGCTGGTCGTGTTGCCTCCCCTCCCCCTCCCCTCCCCCTGCTACCTGTATGCCCTAAATAGCCCCTGTGCCCAGAATTGTGGGTGTTTGAAGGGTTCCCATCAAACCTCACAGAAGACAAACTTCATTCTCTCCATAGGGAAGGCCACTGGTTTAAAATCATACAGGATTTGAACCCAGGCTTTGGGGCTCCAAGGCCTGTGCTCTTTGCATGATATCAACCTAGCCTCTAATCACAGTTCACACTGCCTTCCAGAGATTGGGGCTGTCATTCCTACAACCCCACCTTTTCAGATCGCTCCCCACTTTCATCTGATGTTATAAAAAGCACCATCAGAGCCAGACAGATCTGAGTTTGAACCAGTACTTGTGGGGACTTGTGTGAGGATTCCTAGGCCAGGACCTGGCTCAGGGGCCCTGTTCCATGACTCTGCATCCTGCAGCTCTGACCTAAGATCCCTGAGAGCAAGGGTCAGATCTCCACCTGCCTCTTTCCGTGTTCATGGGTCATTTGCAAAGATAAGGAAGGAAGAAAAGGAAGTGGGCAGTCTAGCTAGTGGCCTTCCCCTTCTAGAAGAGTCCCTCCAGGCCCTAGAAGGGTTACAAGCCCTGAATTAGCTGTTGCTGTTGAGGAGTGACTGTCTTCCCATCTCAGCTAGTAAGGTAATGAGGGTTTGCCCCAGGGGCCTGTGGCTGGATTCAGTGGGGAGGCAGGCAGGGCTCTCCGCACAAGCTCCTGCAGCGGCTCCACACCACTTGAGGACAGTTTGAAAAGACATGAGAGCACAGGCCAGGCCAGATGTTTTAAGACTTCCTGGCTGCAATACAGGCCTCACTTACATAACATGTTACATTCAGTCACCCTTCTTGGGCTCAGGGAGGAGCCCCCAGCTCACATTTCCTCTTTCAACATTGCTCTAGAAGCAGAGCCTTGGGAACTGACAGATGGAACCTGGATACTGGTAAAACATGAAAAGTTTCCGTCAACAAGCTCTAATCTCTGCACTTCCATAAATACATACTTGGTATTATAAAAGTAGATTCTTACCCTGTGCTTTCACTGAGAACCACTGCCCTGGAAAAACAGCAAAGTCCTGGCTGCTTGGCTAGATTCCAGGAGAGGAGGGAGTAAACCAGAAGCAAGTGAGGAGTGAGGAACGGGCTGGAAGCAAGACAGAGGGGTGGGATGGTGCAGGGGGGTGGGGGCTGCCTGAGGAGTGACAGCAGGAGGGCCCCTGTGGCCGCCAAGCATGGCCACAGCCCTGGTTGCCCGGGTCGCACTTGCTGCTGGAGTCAGGGGCGAGACAGAAGCATACATGGGGCCTACTCTCAACCACAGATTATTCTGGGCATTATATCACAGGCAGACCCCGTCTAGATTCCTCCCTGCATACAGACCACAGTTCACCTACCCACATCCTAAAAATGCACCTTGAAGACAGTGCCCCCTGCAGTAGCCAGTTCCGACTTTCAGGCATTTTTGTTCAGGGCAGATCACTGTGTGAAACTCTGAATTGCTGAGGTAAAGGACGCATGATTCCTTGCTGCTGTGGTTTATTTCCTGGCCCAGCAGATTACAGATAACAAAGTGCACATGGAGATTAGGAGTCAGTGGTGGTGGCTGGGGGAAGCAGGGGAGGGAGGACTCAGGAGTTGGGCAAGGTCAGCAGGGCAGTGACCAGGACAGCTGGACCCTGGGGGAAGAGCACAACCCAGATGGGAAAGAAGATATTCCAGCCACTGCCCCTCATCCCAGTACAATGAGGAGACACCATCTGCCCAGAGTCCCCAGTGAAATCAGACAATGTTCAGTAGCCGTGACTTAAGATGGTTCAAGAGTCAAGCACTGGTGGCTCACACCTGTAATCCTAGCTAACCGAGAGGCTGAGAGCTGAGAATCATGCTTCAAAGCCAGCCCAGACAAGAAAGTTCATGGACTCTTACCTCCAAAGAACCACCAGAAAACTGGAAGTGACGCTGTGGCTCATGTGGTAGAGCACTCTCGCTTTGAGCTAAAGAGCTCAGGGACGGCACCCAGACCCAGAGTTCAAGCCCCATGACCCACAAAAAAAAAAAAAGAATTAGGGTTTGTTTATTAGGAAATCCAAGTTCCTTACTTGGGAGTGAGCAAATACTTAGGTGTTTCCAGCATGGGATGATTCCTGACAGCTTTTAAGTGGCAATCATCATCCAGAATCTTGGATAAGTTTGTGATCAAGGCCAAGGGCAGCCAACTCCCCAAACTTGCTAGTGATATTCTGACACCTAACCCCAGCACTCCCCTTCTTCACCCTCTACCTGGCTCAGCAGTTTCGTATTCCTTACAAGTTCCTTCCTTCCTTCCTTCCTTTCTTTTTTTTCTTTTTCCCTTTTTTTTTTTGCCAGATCTAGAGCCTGAATTCAGGGCCTGGGCACTGTCCCTGAGCTTCTTTTTGCTCAAGGTTAGCACTCTAGCACTTGAGTCACAGTGCCACTTCTGGCCTTTTGTGTTTATATAATACTGAGGAATCAAAACCCAGGGCTTCATGCATGCTAGGCAAGCACTTTATCACCAAGCCACATTCCCAGGCCTATTGCTGCAATTTCATTACTCCCAGGATGGGAGGATTACAACTACTGTGCCAAATATGCAGCTCTAATCTGCTCACGCACTCAGGAGCTGACAGCCTCACCCACTTGAATTCTAACCCACCCACGTGTTCCCGCCTCCTGCCCCTGCAAACTCCCAGGTACTTTCTCATGTTTGCCTTTCCCTGAAAAAATACTAGGCGCCCATTAAGTGACCTTTTTCTTGGCTCCTACAACACAAAATCATAGACACAATTACATAAAAGGCAACCATCAGACACTCATCAATATTTATATAACAGTATTTCCATGCCAAGCTCAGGGCTGGGAATATAAACATGAACAGCATAGACTTCAAATGTTTATGTATTTGTAACTATGTAAGTACTGGCTATGCCTTATATTTTGCTATGTAAATACGTGTGAACAACAGCACGGTCACAAGGCGGTGTGGCAGCTAGTAACGGTGTGTGCGGGCAGCCTGGGCAGAGCTGGGCAGAAGCTTGTTTCCCACCTAGAAATCCAAAATTCAACCCCTCGCTGACAGAGTTGTAAGTGGAAAGAAGGGGGAGGATACAGACGGAAGTCCTCTGAGCAGACGTGACAGACAAGTGACCAGTAACTGTGGTTAAGGGAACAAGGAATACGTACGCATGTCCACAACACACATGTTCAGGATTCAGCTTGACCCAGTATCACGTACATTACAGCCCAGGCATCTGTAAGTCAGGGTTGTCCTGTGGATTCTGAGCAGGTAATAGAAGGCTCTGAAAGCCATTAAAAAAAAAAACAAACAAAAGCCAAGCACAGGAGGCTCACGCCTGTAATCCTAGTTACTCAGGAGGCTGAGATATGAGGATCATGGTTCAAAGCCAGCCCAGGCAGGAAAGTCCATGAGACATCTCCAGGTAACCACTAGAAAACCAGAAGTGACACTGTGGCTCAAGTGGTACAGCGCTACCCTTGAGCTGAAGAGCTCAGGAACAGTGCCCAGGCCCAGAGTTCAAGCTCCACACTTGTAATCCTAGTTACTCAGGAGGTTGAGATCTGTGGATTATGGTTTGAAGCCAGCCAAGACAGGAAAGTTGATGAGACTCTTATCTCCAATGAACCATTAAAAAAAAAAAAAAAAAGCTAAAAGTGGGGATGTGACAATCAGTGGCAGCCTTAAATGGGAAAAGCCAAGCCAGTGCCTAAGGCCCTAAATTCAAGGCCAGTACAGTACTGATACACAAAGAGAGAGTGTGCTTGTCACTAACCCCTGCCAATCCAGGAGAGGTTTGAGTTTAAAGAATAACATCTCCCAAAATGCGCTCTGGAAGCAAAGCAAGCACCCGCAGAAACAACCAATGGCAGGGACTTAAGAGTGTTCACCGGTCACCCCAGCTACAAGAAAGCATGAACAGGAACCCATCCAGGCCTGCCTGAACAATTAAATAAGACCCTTCCTCAAAAGTAACCAGCACAAGTGATGGAGGCATGACTCAGATGGTGGAGTGTCTGCCTGACAAGCATGAGGTTTTGAGTTCAAAGCCCAGTACTGCTACAAACAACACACACACAGGGAGGGAGAGAGAGAAAAAGCAAAGGAGAGAGAGGGAGAGAGGGAGGGAGCGGAAACCCAAGCTCAGGAGATCAGCCAGCTTGTACTTGTTGCATAAACAAAACGAACTGTTTCATAACGTTTACCCAAACTCAGAGGTTCAAAACATACTCCAAAATATTGGCTGAACAAGAAACGGGGGGGGGGGGGGGGCTGGTCAGGAGGGGGCGCCCCTGGCCGGCCGCAGGCTCGAGGGGACCCCGCCGCTGCTCTCCTCGCAGATCCTTCTGAACTTCCCTGGGTAGAAGTGGGGCAAGTTCCTGCCAGGGCGGCCGGCCCGTCTGAATGACGGTGGGGCCCGCACGGCGCTCCGGGCCTACGAGGCCGCAACCCCCAAAGCCGGGCTGCACTCGGGGCCGTGGCCCGGGGACCCTCGGTGGGTGAACGGAGGCCCCGGCCCACGGCCTTCGCACCGGCCTGCGGCGGAGCTCACCTGGTTGTAGAAGACCTCCGGCTGCTGGTTCGGGGCCGGCACCGCCTGGGAGGCGGCGGCCGACAGCGAGCGGAGGCCGGGGCGGGGCCCGAGGCGGGCTGCGAGGAGCGCGGCGGCGCGCAGCATGCTGCGGTGGGGCCGGACGGTGCAGGCGCGGGGCCGGGACGGAGCGGAGCGCGGCGTGGATGCCTGCGCAGGACGGACTGTGCGGAGGCCGAGGTGCGTGGAGCCCCGCGGCGGAGACCCCGCCCGCCTCGCGCCCACCAATGGGCAGGCGGGGCCCGAGGGCGCGCCCACCAATGGACAGGCCGGACCCGGGGACGTTCCCACCAATGGGCAGGCGGGCCTGGAGGGAAGGCTTCCCCCCGGCCGAACATCCCTCCCCCTTCCCGCCTCGCGCGCTTGTTCGCGAACCGCAGGTGCCAACAGACCTGCACTTGAGCCTCCGGTCCCTGGGCTGGCCGCAGGGACGCCAGGCGGGCCAGCCAGGGCTAAGGCAGGGGAGGAACGCAGGGGGCTGCCGGCCTCGAGGGAGGAGCAGCAGTGCAAAAGGCTGAGAGGTGGGGGTGGGGGGGAGAAGCGCTGGTTTGACCCGGATCCTTAGAAACGCCACGTGGAAGGGAGGGGTTTGCAAATGCGTTTATCTCCTCCTGAACATCCTGGAAGTGGCACTGGGGCCGCAAGAAGGCCAGGACAAAGGCGATGGGTGGCAAGGGCAGGGCACAGCAATGAGGTGTCAGAGGCAAGGCCTAGGTGAGGAGCTGAGCTGTGCCAGCAGTGGCTTGTCCAGAGAAGTTCGGGGAAAGGGCCCCCGAAGCTAAGGAGTGCCCTGCATGATCCCGTGAGGCTGGCTGTCCATCAAGTGTTCTGCACAAGCACTGAGCCTCGGGCCAGAGGAGACCAGCCAGACCTGGTGCTGCTTTGCTTTTCACAGCAAAGCTGATAGCAAATGGCTTGTCCTTGCATTTTTCTAGAGATAGGCTCTGGAATTCCAGTGGCTACACAATAAAACCCCCTCTGGATTGTTCTGGAATTATCTCGACGGTATCTGAAACCAGAGCCCAGACCAGAGGTGGCTGCAAGGAAGATGAGGGAGAAGTAGTGGGGTCAGAGCCCCCCCCAAGTTAGCATCCTGGATGGAACTATGGGGGCTCAGGCAGTCCCAGAGTCTCTGAAGGGGTCAACCAAGAGAAAGCCAGCACCCACCCTTGTCTGCACCAGGGTCCTGTGAGAGGAAAAATACTTTGATGATGTGCTGTGCCTTTCCCAGCCACTGTGTGCCCTGCTGGCAGGCAGCAGGCCTGACCCGCACTGTCAAGGGGAGGGCCCATGAGACTGGGACCAGGTCAGAGTCTCTCTTACTTCTGGATCTCTTGCTCCTATCTTGTGTTTATTTTTTGTTACTTTGTGGGTAGTTCCTTTGGAGCCCTCTGCTGTGATAGGAAACTTCAAACCAACTCTAAATCCCTTTATTCTCAGTCCTGGTAAACTTTGGAGTGTGGATCCTTAAAAAAAAAAAAACCCAAATCACACCGTATCACACCCACTCTGGCCACTTTGTCATACCAAGTCAATAGCAACCAGCCCCTGGAGATAAACTGTCATAAGGAAGCAGCTTTGCCCATGTTCCCCTACACATCCACTAGAGCAGCCCGGCTGAGGGCTGCGCCCCATGGGTAGTGAGCCGGTGACAGAACTGACAACCCTGACCAGTGAACTCGTCCCTGGGCCCAGCCATGCTGCAGGTAGCATTCCCAGTGCTGCTCTGGCACCTCCACCCCTGAAGCAGGGAACACGAGGGGCAACGGGGTCATACCCAGGGCATAGTGTGGCTGCACCAGGTTAAGGAGCATGTGACGTAGGACTGTAACCACTTCCTTTTCCCAAGGCCCCAAGCAGAAACCAGACCGCTGGGCTCCTGCCAGAGTTTACACGGGGTTCTTCGCCATTTTGCAGGTGTTGTGAACGCAGTTAGTAGAGGTGGGGATTTCACCTCAGCAGTGAGCAGTTTCTCCAGGTGGTGTGGTCACGTGTGCAAAGCGGCACACAAGGACCATGGTCCTGCCCGCTTGTCTGCCTGGAATGGGCTCAGCCCCATCACAAGTGAAGAGATGAGCATCGCGTGGCATTGCTTAGCTCTGCCTGGGACTCCGGGGCACCCACTTCTCTGGGACCTCTGACAGCAGTATGCACCTGCTGGCTCCCCTCCCCCGGACAGGCTGAGGGGCCTCACGCCCACCGCTGCAGTTCCTTCGGTGACATTTCCATGAGCACAGGAGTGTGGAGATAGGCAGTGAGGCGGTAGCAGCAGCGACTCTGGACCTGCCAGGAGTCAAGGCACCCACACCCCCCAATATCTCCTGTGTGGGGTCACTGATGCACTAGGGAGGGGCTGGGGAAACAAGTGTGAAGTGGAGCTTTTATTTCCAGTGTCAGTGACATAGAAAGTTCCCAAAGCCTACGAGATGTGCTCCGTCCTCGTCCCCAGCCCCTTCCCCAAACAACCCTTTAGGTGCTCTGTGATATGACACATGAAAGAAGAAAATCAGGTTCACCATTCGGGTTTCACTCTGTGTTCCCAGAGCACCCCCTCGGCCCCGGCCACCCTCTCCTTCCACCCTGTTTCCAGAGAGAACGCAGCATGTTACCCAGTAGGCTCCTCATGTGTCCCGATTCCCGCAGCCAGGGAGAGAGCAGACCCACCGGAGTGTGAGGACCTGCCTGCTCTGTTCTGCTCCCGGCACCAGCCTCCCGCCTCTTCCTTCCTGTAGTATGAGTCTCAGCTTCACAAGGAAATGGCTTCCACGGGAAGGCTGAGTTCACAATGACTGTCGCAGATAGGAAGCGCCATTTGCAGAGAGGTACAGTTGGCCAGCAGGGACTCCCACAGGGCTAGGCCCGAGGCTTCAGCTCCATCCTGGCCACGGCGAGCCGGTGCACCTCGTCAGGGCCATCAGCAAAGCGCAGTGCTCGGGCCCAAGCGAAGAACTGAGCCAGCGGGTAGTCACCACTCAGGCCCGCCGCTCCAAAGGCCTGGCAGACACAGGGCAGGGGAAGAGGGGAGGCCTGGCTGAGCCCTCATCCCAGAGGCCCCGCAAATGACAGCCTGCTCAGCACGGCTGATAGCAGCCACCGTCTTCCCCCTGTGTCCCTGGCGACACCTGTGTGACACAGCATGCTCCAGAGATGTGGATGGAGGCACATGTCACCTGGATGCCAGACTCACCAAGCCTACTCCGCAAGGCGGCTTCTGCCACCAGGGAAGTCGGGTGACAGGACTGGGAGGAAGTGGCCCTGCGCAGGGCGCAGGCTGAGTGAGCTAAGGCAGGTCACTGCCCTGCACTGTGCCTGCTTTCTCGTGTTCCTATTGGGGTGAGATGGGCCCCCTGGCAGTGCTTATCTCAAAGAGGAAAAGGAGAGGGGCATGCACGGTGCGTGGGCAGCCAAAGGCCAGGGGGTGACATGTCTACCGTCACTTGGTTGGTGCTCACCTGAATAGCACGGTCAATCACTCGATAGGCCATGGACGGGGCCACCATTTTAATCATGGCAATTTCTAAAGCGGCAGCCTACAAGGAGAGGTCAAGATTAGAAAGGGGGGCAGAATGCTTGGAAGAACAATGCATTTCACCAGAAGTAAAAAATTAAAACACCCCCACCACAGCCCACCCCCAGGCAGAGCCCCGAGCGCGGGCTTTGCTGTCAGGGAATTCACATTGCTGGACGTGGATAGGAAGGGAATGGCTGGTGCTGTGTTCCAGCTCACAGCGGGCTGAGGCTGAAGAGGTTGCTCCGTGTAGAGTGCTTGCCTCGCACAAGGCAGAGCTTGAGCCCCAGCAACATATAAACAAGAATAGCAGCAGCAACAGCAGCTCCATTTTCAAGCAATAGAGGACGGAGCACAGGCGGATCCAGGAAGAGCTTAAGCCACACAGCTGTCCAGGCGGAGGGCACCGGAGTGAGGTGCCTGAAAGCCTCCAGTGTATGATCACCTGTGTCAAAGAACCCACAACTCTGTCTTGGCTCCCCAAGACAGAGGCTCTTGGCAGGGGATGGAGCCCACCCCACAGAAAAGCTGGACAAGGCGCTAGGCAATGGTGGCCGTTACAGCCACCACAAAGAGCTTTGACTAGTGAGTATTGTCACCCTTTGAAATGAACCTCTCTGTTGGCAATTCTGTGTTCGGGCCAGGGCTGGTAGAGTCCTTCTCCTTGGCTCACTTGTCTGGTCTGACTCCTGCACCAAAGCCTTGGGAGACCAGGGCTGCACAGTTCTATGAGACTCAAGTTCAAGTCCAGCCAGTCAGTAAAAATGCAAGCTCAGTCGTCTTTCGTTGAGCCTTTCTCTGCCCTTGAATAGCAGAGGTGAGTAGCCACCAGTGACAAAAAGCCTAGTTTTCTCCATGTTTGCTGAGGAGGAGAGGACAGATTTCCATGCTGCCAGCTCAGCCCTCGGCCTCCCACCTTATTTCCTGCCACGTCCATGAGGTGGGCAGTTTTCAGCACCAGCAGCCTTGCCTGCTCGATCTCCACACGGGACTGGGCAATATCTGCCAGGATTGTGCCCTGTTCCACCAGGGGCTTCCCGAAGGCCACGCGGGACTTCACCTGCGGATACCAGAGACACAGGGCTGCTGTGGGGGGCGGGGGGCAGAGGCTGGGGAGGCAGTGACCCGCGGGGTGGACTGGAGGACAGGAGCATGCCACGTTTCTGCCCACTCGCCATCCATGGGCATTTGTGGGAGAGCTGAGTGCTGTTGACCACGGTCCTGTGATGACAGGGCACATGACTCCCAGGAACTATTTACTGCGCGTACACAGCAAGAGGGATGGCCAGCTCTAGCCCAAGGCTGCTTCCCTCTAAGCTGGCAGATAGGGAATGACTGTGGAAGCCCCACATGATACAGGAGTCGAGCGCCCCCTGCTGACCACAGCCAGCCTTGCACCCCCCCCCCAACCCAGAGCACCAGCAGCAGCAAGGCAGGGAAGTCAAGGCTGCCCCATCTGCACTGAGGATTTTAAAGTCTGCAGGCCAAAAGACATCAGAAAGGGTTATAAGCATTCTGTGCGTGTGTACGTGAGTGTGTGTGTAACTTAATTTTTACACAATTTAATAACAGAAAAACTGTCATCAATTTTCAG